TGTTATTACCATCTGTTCTGGAAAACCAAACACAAGGCAGGCTCAATTGAGACTAACATAGACAAACAAATATTAAGGCAGGGAAAATTTAATATGAGCATAGATGTCATTCTGGCCCTACCAAGAGTTCATTTGTGTCTTTATAGGACCACAAATCTGAACACAACTGAGATATTCTGATGCCTTTTGAATTCCTCTTCTTTATTTCATACTTTCCAACTCCAGGCCTCTGAGTATCACATTCAATACTGCCATTTTTCAAAACTTATATTCTATTTTTCACTTCTAGCCCCAATATATGACCAGAAAAGCGAAGAAATGTTTTAAGGTAAATGTCAATGTCTTCACAAAGGATGCAGAAAAGAGCCTCTCTCAGGTCTCTAATATCTGCAGTGTCGGGGGCAAAGACAGATAACGGATCTGGCATCAACAAAGAAATTGCAGTACATCATTTTTTAAAAAGCAATAGAAGCCAACCTGTCTGCTGTCAGTTCATCTATAANCATCTATAAAGGCATGTAAGGCATTGCCATCCTTGGCACGAATAATGGCCTCCAAATTTTCTTCCAGAAGCTTCTTATTTTTCTGAACAGCTCTCAGGATTTTTTCAGCATCTCTCAAGATGGATTTTGATGCCTTGGTTGACTGAAGAATGGATGACTTGGAAAGATGCTGAAGCTCACAGAGACTTGGGACAACAGGAACTTTCTGTCAAAAGACAAGTACATATATAATTAATGCCACTGACTTTGACAACCCGGGGTATATTAGGTGCTAGGTGAAAAACAGAATATAAATAAAATAAGAGGAGTTTTTGGAAAATAAGGTTACAAGATATTTTTAAATACAAAGAATGAATATATTTTAATAATATAGCATAGGTATTACATTATATGTACACATAATCACCATTCAGTTCAACACATTTTGTCGTCCGTAGAATGAGTTTTTGATGCCTGTGTCATAGAAGTTTCCCTCCGCCTTTTTCAGCCAGTTTGCCATTTCAATTTTCTCCTCCTACTTTTTGGAAAAGTGTTTCCACCAAGGTGTTCCTTCAATTTAGTGAACAGATAGTCACTGGGTGCAAGATCGGGGATGTGAGAGGGGCGGCTTACAACATCCCAACCAAATGACGTTAACTCTTGTGTTGCATGAGTGGTGTGCAGACACGCATTGTCATGAAGGAAACAGACTCCCACCATCAGCATCCCACGACGTTTATTGTTGATGGCTCTGCTAATTTTCTTCATGGTTTCACAATATATTCTGTACCCATTTTGTCACATGCTGTCTTGACATTACGTCCTCTCCATAAACTGAAGCGATTTCACGATGAATCGCAGTGGCGTTCATGCTCTTAGCATTTAGGTATTAGGTATTATAGTGCAAACTTGACACTTGGAGGGAAACAGAACGAGGACACTCATCTCTAACCTTCACCACCACGCCAGCTGATGAGCTACTGGCACTGCTCGTTTGCTTCCGCTGGCTTCTCGCTACACAGCAGTGATACCAACTTCCCCAGAGAAAATTCCCCACAAGAGCTATGCGCCTTGTAACCTTACTTTTCGGATAACCCTCATAAATATTGCCTTTCTAAATACAGGCTTCATTCCTGTTACTATGTAATAAAGATGTTATTACCTTCCACCCATCCCTACGACTGACAAATAAAGACAAGAAGAAAACGGTAAAGAAGACAGAAAACGTTATCTTAAAACAGTGGTCATCTTACAATCTATTTTGTCCTCCAAAACAAAACAAAAATGCTGTCTATTGCCTGTCAACATCTTCTGGAATACAACTGGAAAGGGCACATTGTAAATGGGCAT